GGCTCCTCCAACACAATTCAACATACTGTGGAGGGGCTGGCTGGGGCACAAGGGGGCTCCATTGTGGGGCTAGCCTCTCACTGAAGCATCCTCATGCCCCAGCCAGACCCATCAACATTACACAAGTTGCTGCGCACTAAACAATGCCACCAAAGGATAGTACTTGTGTTTACAAGTACTAACCTACAGCAGCTCTTATTAGTTTACTGCAACCTAACAGAGACACACATGTTGAGACTTTACTGTGGAGCTAATTTGTCCATTCCACAGTAAATGTCTCATGTAGATGCACCCTGTATCACGTAACTCTGCACAGAGAAAATCTTTGTGATACTGATTAGAACAAGATGGGACAGCTTGCTATACTAAAGACCCAGAAGATGCTTCCACCAGTAGACCTGGTCTGGTGGTAATAACAGCTCAAATCAGAAAAATCTTAGGACAGGCCTAAAGGATCTGTTAGAGGCTGTGTTGAGCTTGTATGTGAGGATGGTAAATGAGTGGGAAGCTAAAGAGGAATTGAGGGGCTCTGGCCCCATGGGGGAGAGGGAACACATGTCCAGGGCCCTAACCAGAAGGCATAATGATAAGTAAACATTATCGGCTATAATGACCAAAAAGATAAAGCCGATAGCTGATGTCACTTCCCCTTTTATTGGTGCCGATCCAATCGGCAACTGATATATCGGTGCACTTCTAGCCTTTGCTTAGATTTATCATATTTGGAGTAGATCTATATAGCAGAGAGATATATTGACATGATCTTAAGACAGCAGCCTTTTAAAAGATAGTGATACGTGTACCACTTCACAATTGTACATAGTATTTTCCTGTCTCTATTGGTTAGAGGTATTTGTGTAAAAAAAGTTTCTTCAGAATCAGCCTCATATCATGCAACAATCCAAAGTCACTACTGTATAAGCAGCTGCGATATCAGATACTTGGTTGTAGTAGTGAATTAGCTGGAAAATAGATTTAGAAAATTATGCATGCACCTTAGTAATAACTGAAGACTGCTAAAGAAATTAAGGAAAAGCATATAATCAAATTCTAAAGACTAATTAGAACCCACGTAGGACACCAAATAAATAATCCAACACAAACCTAGTCAATTTAGGGTTCCAATTCATTTCTGAGAAGCTATTCATGTCAACTGGAGTTGCAGATCACAACTCAGGTCTCCAATACCAAGTACTTGCTATAATCTTTTTCCTACCAAAACTTGAAATTGAAAACTATTACAAATAAGCTGCTTTATATCTGAATGTGCTTGAGGAAAAGTACTTCCTAAAAAGCAAAAAGGCACCCAACCAAGTTCTTAAACAGTGACAATTAATTAAAGCATATGAAAGATGCAGAAGAAACAGATGACAATACAAGGATTTAACTACTGGAATAAAAACAACAACAAAATACAAAACCTACTACAAACTAACCACTCATCTAACTTAAAAAAAAATATCACTAATATTACATGTACAGCTGTAAATTAGTAAACAACTGTGCAAATCTGTACAGATAAAGTGCTGTGTGAACACCTGGCTTGCACCAAATAATGTTTAAAATGTAATTATGTTACAGCTCAGAAATATAATGGAAGGTTCTTTGAGGACACGCCAAGTTTAAATGGCTTTCCCTTTTTCCTTCCTGCATCCTTATCCATTGTTCCTTGAACTGTACATTCTATGCCAATATAAAGGCTTTTTCAGAAATCCTAGTTTGGGAAAAATAGTTTAATTCAAGTACATCTCTTTTTCATTGTAAACTAGGGGACAGAATGGGCTTAATTTTCATTAAGTTCTGAATACCTAAAACTTCAACTGATGGTAATGGAAGTAGTAGCAGCTCACTACCTTTGAAAGTCAGGCTTCACTTTGTCATTCATTTAATTCTTACAAAACGTAATAAGTGTGGAAACTTAGAATCTGACCTAGTCAAATGTAAGAGTCATGTCCAAGTGATAAGCAATTAAACAAAAGCTGAGAGAGTAGCATATTCAGCTATTTAGACTGATAAAACTAAGTCCTGTAACCATGTTTACCGTTCTCATATATACAAATCCTGGATATTTGATATGCTGGAATCAAGTTACTAAAATACAGCAACTATCTTCAGATATTAGTGGAATACACTTAAAAATACACCGCAGGTCTCTTCTTCACTTTATATTTTAATGAGCCATAGCGTATCTGAAAGGAAAAAAACTGGGTTTAGAAATCAAGTATTGCTATTCAAACGGCATAAAAATGGCCAAGATAAAAAAAATAATTTGTTATTAACATACACAAAGCTCATATCCTCGTAATATCTGTTGAACCCTCAGCTATTGGTATACAGTCATGTAGCACTAGTAACCAGGACAGTTTTGTTTTATCATCTGCTGCCTTAAACCACAAAGCCATTTCTTTTGAATATATTTTTGTTGTCACCTCAAAAACCAGATGATTGCAATGCGTTTTCCCTGGGATTTGATGTTAGTCAAACTAAATGGTAAAGATTGTGGCGGCATCTCTCAAGGGGAGGACCTGACACTAGTTCTCTAGGATCTGTACTCATTACTTGTTGTGTTCCCGGAGCGTTCAAACCACCACACTACATATCCCTAAATCACCCGAGATGTACTTGTTAGGCTACCTTCTTCTGACTGTCATTCTGTTGTCTATATATATATATCCATCCCACTCAGTATAGAAATGGGAGTGGTCCCAGCAAGACATTCCTTTTGAAACGGCTTTTGGGAGTGCTCTTTTCCCTCTCACCTTCCTTTCTGTCTAAAAACAAAGCCAAAATATGACCATTTTTAGGGCATGCTGAAGGTCCTCTTTTCACTCTGGTTGAGGGCCAAGGAATTGCAATGAAGCAGGGCACTTGTATGTTGTGGTATATTTGGTTGGTAATTTGACTGAAGCTGCTGATTCTTTATCCCCACTTTTGTTACAAAGCCAAGTAGACCAGGTTTAGTGCTCTTTGTTCAATACAGCCATAAGAGCCACAAAAAGGAACTTGGTCTTCTGCATTATGACAGGGCAGCAGGATTTATCATCTACATTTAAATGAAGACACTACAATACATGGGCCACTTCCTTCTTCCAAGTCGTTTCCAGACGTTAGGTCTCCAGCACTCTGACAAACATGCATTTAAAAAGCAGTGTTCAAATTCATTTATTCAGTGTTTTCTTATAGGTTCCCCATATTTTTCCTGTTTGTTGTTTAGTTGAAAAAGTAGTTGCTTCCCCCATTTCTCCTAGGAAGCCAGAAATGGAACTAAATTCAGACCTATGTAGAGAAGGAAAATATTCTGGACTATACCTACATCTGGTGTTTTATATTTTAATTAAAAGTGCTGAATTACTGTAACATTTTTAAATTATCAGAGTGTGCATGCTTGGACTTTTTACCTTTCAAAATTACTTTATTACCAATAAAACTGAATATTGTTAGTGAACTAATGCACTTGCCTCTTTGCGGCCTTTAATACTTTTTACAGATTTCATGCTCTGAGATCTTCGAAGGCCCCTCTGAGCAAACATCTCATCTTCTGAATGTGTCCCCTCCATTTCCTCATCAGTTTTATCATCTCCAGAATTTCTCTCTAACTGAATCCTGTAACCTAAGAATAAACCGTAGGGTAGAGATTTGGCTAGAGGGAGAATGGTAGCACAATATTTAATTTGTATAGGCAAAATAAAATGATGAAGATTCACGTTAGTTAAGGATCATCAGTCCACTAATTTTGCTGAAACTAGATGAAAAATTTTTCTTTGACACATGCTCTTTATCTAGCCAAAATAGTTGTGCATCAGCTGTCTCAAAACAGAAAAGAAACTTATTTGCAAACAGCAATGTGCTCTAAAATTAAATACATCAGCATTTTACTGCCCTGATCACATAGTTCTTAGGTCTGTCTTTGGCCATGACACATTTAGCCTTTTAGAGTTGTCCAGCTGCCTCTAATAATTTAGTCACTCCTCTAACTTACTGTTTTCTTGGAAGAGTTCTTTGTGCTACTGCAGTTGGGGATTAGTGGCAAATACTGTGTACACATAGCAAATTCAGAGCTGTATTTAAAATAATGTTTGAAGCTACTAATCAGGTTTTTCACTCTGGTCTCTCTCATTTTTCTTAAATGAACTCTTCAAATTTCATATACATAATTCTTTAAGTGTCATGTCTCAAGAACAAAGACATACCCAATAACATAATACAGTTAAATAGCAAGGTTCCAGAAGTTATTTCAAGCCAGCCAGACAAGTATGCTTAAAATAATGGAAATCCAATCCTAATAAATTCAACAGAAAAGAACATAAGCTCTAGCAGGTAAAATGGAAGACAGAAGTGCTAAAAGGGAATATAAAGTACAAACAGTAAAATAAGGCGAAGTATATAAAGATCCCCTAACTGCAGTGTTCTGAAAAGTTTAGGAGGGTTTATTTTTAAATTATTCTTCATCCAAATTTCATTTTAACAATGCTTTTCTCAAGACTCACAACAGCTACCTCATCCAGAAGTTATGCTCATGTTGAGTACAAACTTTGACTATATCTGTCCCTAAATTTAACTGAGTATATTACCAAAGATTTTCACTAGAGGGTGCAAACTGCTTTGTATAGCAACAAAGTTTAGCTACAAGCCCATCCTGTCTTATTTGGATCCAGGAGTGGACAATACATACAAAATGCAAAGTCAAGATAATTTACTAAGTTAAAAATTAGCATAAATACAATAATATTACAGCTAATTTATGACAAATTACTGCATTTTGTATTAAAATAGTTCTTCTGCAGATTGGAATGTTGAGCATTTTCAAGCAATTCAATTCAAGAACATACAAAGCATAGAGAAGTGGCCTGCACACAGCAGCTGTAACTGCATCACTTGTAAAGCAAACACTGGCACAATGTATTTATCCTCTCAAGAAGGGCCTCTGAGTAAGTGCACTTCCCATTTCAATCATCATGACCTACTCTACCAATTATTTATTCTCCAGAACAGTTCTGTATAACCATTATTTCATTAAGAGGCACTGTTTTATGGGAAAATGTACCTTATCCCAGGCATTTTGTAACTTAAACAAAAAAAACCTAGATAAAATAAACCTGAACTATTCCTTTGCGAGGGACAGTAACTTATTTATATTTTAGTCAGGCTTCAGCCACAAAGTGCAAGAAAGAACTTTTGCAACTGAACTTTTCTAATCTTTTCTTTAAAGTGGCACAGAGACTCATAAGCACAATGCGTTCATAATGGAAGACAAGATACCTCCTAGAATCTTAAGTGTTTGCTGCTAGTTGCTACAGTCAAGGGTAAATCTAGGTAAGGGATGCAGTCATATCCACCTTTGATTCCACTCCACATTTAAAAACTGCCTGGCAGTGACAACAGCATTTCTATTCAGGCAGCAGTGAGGGAGTCAATTAACTTCAGGGCTCATTATAATCTATCTAATTCCTTCTAAACTTTTCATTCCATGGGTGTTAGCAACGCTCTCTCATTTTTAATAGTCTCTAATGGTTCCATTGATCAAGTTATCCTTTCTTCTGCAATTCTGCTGCCTGTTAGATGCTCCTGGTACAGTAGCTCCCATTTCATAGCTCAGCAGACTGTTTTTAACCCTGCCTACAAATAATAACTCAAGTGAACTTTAACTCAGGAGTGAAAATAACTTTTAGTGATGCACTGGATGCACTGTCAAGATGCTCAGAAAAGCTTAATTTTGTTTTATGAATTTGAAAAAGATGTACACTTGATTCTAACAACAGAGCTATATATACATACATATGCACACACACACACTATTTTTGCCTACTTTGTGTTTTTACGTTATATATGATATAGCAAATTAACACACATTCCAGTAAAGCTGTTTTTTGTTTTTTGTTTTGCTTCTAGTTTCTTTTTAACCAGAAAAAAAGTCACTTGTGTTACATGATGATCAGGGATTCTGGTTTTCCATGATTATAAATAAATAAATAAATAAATTGCAAATTCTCTGATAAAAACTGCAAAATCCATGATTAAAATTAAAGACCCCCTACAGCTCCCCCCCAGCCCTACTGGTGCCCCTCACTCCTCCCACAACAGCCCCACCCCAGCCCCACACATGCAGGCACAGGCACGTACAAACCAGCAGGTAACTGTGTGTGGGAGAAAGGGAAGGGGTTGGGAGGATCTAGATCGAGAATGGGGTGGGAGGGGAGTGCGTCTCAGCCTGCTCCCAGGAACAGGGCTGTGGGGGCAATGGCAGTGGTACCCCTCTGCGGGCTGCACGTGCACTGCCCAGCTGGCCTGATGGAGGAGAGGGGGGGAGCGCTCATACACAGTGGCTGCCACTGCCACCGCCCCATGCCACCACTGCCACATCGCTTGCCTGTAGAGCCTCATGTGCGACAGGCCACAGCAAAGCAGTGTGAGCCGTAGCAGTGGCAATGGCAGTGGCATGGGGTGGTGGCGGCCACCCTGTGCAAGTCCCCCCCTCCCTCCACTCTGTCCAGCTGGCCAGGCAGCACGTGTGCAGCCCACAGAGGGGCACCAAGGGTGGGGGAGGGGGCTCGACCAGCTATGGCAAAGCAGTCATGGGGCAACTGGCAGCAGCAATGCAGCATGGGGTGTGGCACTGACAGTGCGGGGCAGTGGCACCCACCATGTGCAAACCCCATCCCCCCCATCTGGCTGGGTGGTGCATGTGTTGCCCACAGAGGGGCACTGCTGCCCTCACCCCTCCAGCCCTGCTCCTGAGAGCAGGCATAGAGATGCACTCTGCACCCCCCTCCATTTTCAATCATACCCCAGCGAGCTTCTCACAGCCAGCTTCCCACCCAACCCTGTCCTGCAAGCCCAAGCCCCACTACCTTACAGGCTTCACGAATGAACAGTGAGCCTGATCCAAGCCTAGGGTGAGTGCAAGCCTCAGACCCCATCCTTCCCCCTCTCCCTTCCTGCAGAGCTCTTTGCAAAACCAGGAAATCCGCAGATTTCTCTGCTAAAAGGTAAGATCCATTTTTTTCTCTAATAAAAATGGGAAATACATGGTTTTCTCTGTTTTCACATGGGAACCAGAAAACCTGGATCCCTGGTTATGATGCACCCCACCTTTCTCCATCCCCTTTTCAAAATCCTAGATCCACCAATGGCTACAATATATCTTTTTCATTTAATACAATACAGTCTAAAATATACAAGACGTATTGTTTCAATATTTTTGTATTGTGACAACTTAATGACTAACTTTGTTACTGCCAAACAAGAAAATTCACCTTTTAACCAGTGACTTTGCCAACATTATGAACTTGTAAATTTACCTTTCATACTTATTTACTCAATTTCAGAACACCTACCATTAGTAACAGTTACAAATAGAATCCAAAATATTTGTCTTCTACTTCACTAAACTTGGACTTAAGTGGCTCAACAAAGGTAGTTTACTTAACTAAGTTGTTCTCATACCTTACCCTCATTTTTATGAAAGAAAAGAACCTGCAAGATGAAACAAATCCACAACCTTAGTTACAATGGTTTAAAAATATTATTATGAATACCAAATTTTTTTAAAGGAGACAGTTTGCAAATATTTAAAGACAAAAAAGTACTTGTTCCTTCCCTTTCATTTATCAGTATTCAAAGGCACAAAAGGGACGCAAAATTTGAGAAAGATAATACATACCCACAGATTCACTGACTGAACTTTTGGTTTTCTTTCTGGTTTCTGGTAAAGTCTGATAGGGTCTCTGTCCTATAGGCTCATCTCCTTGAATAGCTGTTAAATCATGCATACTGAAACTTCTCAGCCTTTCAGTTATTGCACCTTGACTCTGGAACACAGTAATAGTTTCTTTCAAGAACAAATGGAGAAGGCTTACTTACTCTTAATATTGATTTAAGACGGTTAAACAT